AGAGAAGACATCTGGACTCTCCTCACTCTCCTCCAACAGGAAGGCCTGCTGCCCAGAGCTCAGAGCATCATCATACTCCTCCTTAGCCTGCAGGCCACATAAAACATGTTTATTTTATTGTTTTATCTCCTTAATAAATGCATCTTTATGTCCAACTCACCTCCTGTTTCTCCTTAACCTCAGCTACAATTTGTGTCTTTCCAACCTGAGCACTGAAATGACACACAGCAGCATCTCCAGGCAGAGGGAAGACAAACACAGCCTCTATTGGTTTATCCTCCTTGTTCTCATAGTTCAGAGTAGAAACCACTGTAGCCACATGGTCTTTCACCTCCAGCTGCACTTCAATGCTCTTCAAAGGAACTAAAGCAACAATGTATAATGGTCTTGTATGAAAATCACACAAAGTTCTAAAATGTCTTAAGCTTTTTTTTCTTTTTTTTGCAGATGAAATATATTTTATACACAGAAGAGTGTACCTATTTAACAAAGTGATAAACTGTTATTGAGAAGCAACCAAACAACCAGATTTTAACAGCTGTGTACCTGGTTCCTTTGTGTTGGTTAGCAGACCACAGCGGTTCTCCATTGTGCCTACAGGACAAAAAGGAAAACAAAAAAGATAAAGTGTGTTGAAAAGTAGGCAACTACTTGGTACGATATAATTAAAAAAGATTAAGATCAAATAAGAAGACTAATCTAAAACCATTTTTTATGGTTAAAATTAGTTTTTTTTGTGCATGATGACAAATTACTTTGAAAGTACAAAGCTTACACTTTTAGATTAGATTAGATGAGCTTTATTGGTCTCACAGCGGAGAAATTCACTGGTCACATATTGGCATAGTACTTAAAGAAGGTGCAAACAAGGTGGAAAAGGTGCATTAGGAATAAAAAAATAAAGAAAAACAAAGAAATAAAAAAAGAAGCATATTGCACACAATATTGCACAGTCAATAAATAAAAAACTATAATATAGTTGCACAGTGGTTGTTACAGGAGTTATTGTGGTTATAGGGCAGTGTTATAGAGTCTGGTGGCAGCAGGAATGAATGACCTGCATTAGCACTCCTTCTTACAGACAGGGTGTCTAAGTCTTTCACTAAAGGAGCTGCTCAGCTCCTCTACAGTCTGATGCAGGGGGTGAGAGGTGTTGTCCATGATGGATGTGAGTTTGGACAGCATCCTCCTTTGAGCCACTTCCTCTACTGAGTCCAGAGTGCAGCCCAGGACCGAGGTGGCCTTCCTCACCAGCTTATTTAGTCTCTTTCTGTCCCGTTCTGAGCTGCCTGGGGCCC